ATTGGACAGTCTGTTCCTTGCAGACTATTCATGCTGAGACACAAAGAAATAGGTTTCAAATACAGGTAATGAGTAATAACTATCATGCATGGCGAACATTATGGAACATCAGTAGTTCATTATGGCTACAGCCACATGCAGAAATGACGATTTGTAATAAATCTATGTGTACTGGATACTGGGATCAGTATAATATGACATCAGTAATGACTGTGTGTAGATATCAGATACTGCCGGTGATAACCACTAAAGGGTTTTGGTATCTCCATGTTAGTGGAGAGTGGTGGGATGTTAAAACAAATCGAACATATGAAGTAAAACACTGTGATGAGACTGATAAGGGTTTAGCCTGCCCATTGGTAAAAGGACATAGCAATCCATGTTTCACTGATTCAAGGGTCGTACTCTGTGATTGGACGGTCACACCCCCAGAGGAACAGTTTTGGCAGGTGGGTCCTAACACCTTATGCGTGGCTACAATGACCAATTCCCCACAGGTACCTTCAGTTCCCTTTTCAGGTTGTCTCAAGGGTATACATATGTGGGAATGGAATAACGTGACCTATTGGTTGAGTAATTACACTGTATCTAGTCGGCTGACTAAGATACAATGGGAGGTTTTACACTCCCCTTGGACACTCTCACTGGAACGATTCAAATGCGCATTGGATGGTTCCACTGAAGTGGCAAAATTGATCGACTCTCATAGGTCCAACCTTTCCAGGCTCATGGTGTCTACTCTTGTGGCACAAGGGGAAATAAAACATGTTGCTACATTGATTGAACAGGCTTCCGCTCATCATTGGTGGGATATATTTACAGGCATGTCGAGTACCGCTAATAAAGTGCTAATTCCACCTATGATTGCAGCATTAATTATAATCAGCATTCTAACATTGTGTAATCTTATTATTTGTTGGTATGTTATTCGATTAAGAAGAGAAATAAATTGGGTAATAATGCAAAGACTACGATGAAAATTAAAGTGGAACTACAAGGTATGTTATAAATGACGTTGGTTTTGATGGGGAAATGGTGATGGATATGTTACATAAATTAGATGAAAAGTTCAAGAGTGGAATGTAATAAAAATGAACTTGTCATCTGTTGTATAATTGCTTTATATAAGTTATTGATCACTACTGTTTGTCAATCACACTTATCATGAGGATGTAATCAAGGGTAATCATGGTAGAGCCGAACATAATGTGATCATGAGGATGTAATCAAGGTAATCATGGTAGAGGTGTGCAGCTTTGCACGCACATCAGGGAATGTATAAGGAGCAGAGCAGGGCTCAGGGGGGAGAGCTGCTTGAAGGATTCTACCTGACGAGGTTCATGGATTACATGTGTTCAGTTCTTCACCTATCATGGATTACGTTTTCTAACTGGGGTGTTCAGCTCTCCACCCATAAGCAACGGTAAGAGAAATGTTTCGTTCATGATTGATAACTTGTATGAATGCCGGTTGAATAAAGCCTTGTTGTTCATCTGATATTCAAGTTGTGTTTCATTGTTTCTGGCGTCGACTTGACAACGATCCTGACTAAATAAATATAAAGTGTAAAAAAGAGACTTTGAGTCTTTTAAGGTAATTAAAATAAAATAAAACATTTTATTTTAGAACACAGGCGTTCCCAGCAGACCCTCACTATGCGTTTGGGTCTGCCAGGTCTACGCGGCATCTTCCCCTGCCATCTGATACAACTCACCACCAGGTGGTGATCAGTTGACAGCTCTGCCCCTCTCTTCACTCGGGTGTCCAAAACATACGGCCGCAGGTCAGATGATACGACTACAAAATCTATCATCGACCTGTGACCTAGGCTGCCCTGGTACCAAGTGTACCGGTGGGCATCCTTATGTTCGAACATGGTGTTCGTTATGGCCAAACTGCGGCTTGCACAGAAGTCCAATAACAAAACACCGCTCGAGTTCAGATTAGGTGGGCCGTTCCTCCCAATCACACCCCTCCAGGTCAAGCTGTCATTGCCCACGTGAGCATTGAAGTCCCCCAGCAGGACAATGGAGTCCCCTGATGGAGCACTATCTAGCACTCGTCCCAGGGACTCCAAAAAGGGTGGGTACTCTGACCTGATATTTGGCCCATAAGCACAAACAACAGTCAGGACCCGTTCCCCGACCCGAAGGCGCAAGGAAGCTACCCTCTTGTCCCCCGGGGTAAACCCCAACACACAGGCAGAGAGTCTCGGGGCTAACAAAAGGCAGAAGGCCCCCGGGTCGACCCAGGACACGTTGGAGAGGTTACATCTCCAATCTGGTCCGGGAACGCCTTGGGGTCCTGCCGGAGGAGCTGGTGGACAAGGCCGGGGAGAGGATGGCCTGGAGCTCCCTAATTGGGATGCTGCCCCCGCGACCCGGACCCGGATAAGCGGAGGAAGACGACGTAATTACAAAATAGGTGAAACATTACAGCTACAGTGGGGATGGGGAGCTGCTGACGTCAACTGGGGCTATAGTCGGACGGTGGAAGGAATACTTTGAGGAGCTCCTCAATCCCACCTACGCGCATTCTGAGGAGGAACCAGAGCCGGGAGACCTGGGGGTGGACTGTCCAATCTCAGGGGCAGAAGTTGCTGAGGTAGTCAAACAAGTACACAGCGGCGGAGCCCCGGGGGCGGATGAGATTCGTCCTGGGTATCTCAAGGCTATGGATGTTGTAGGGCTGTCGTGGTTGACACGTCTCTGCAACATTGCGTGGTCATCGGGGGCAGTTCCTGTGGAGTGGCAGACCGGGGTGGTGGTCCCCATCTTTAAGAAGGGTGACCTGAGGGTGTGTTCCAACTATAGGGGGATCACACTCCACAGCCTCCCTGGAAAGGTCTACTCCAAGGTACTGGAGAGGAGGCTCCGATCGATAGTTGAATCTCAGATTGAGGAGGAGCAGTGTGGTTTTCGTCCTGGCCGTGGAACTGTGGACCAGCTCTATACCCTTGCAAGGGTGATGGAGGGGGCATGGGAGTTTACCCAACCAATCCACATGTGTTTTGTGGATTTGGAGAAGGCTTATGACCGTGTCCCCAGGGGCACCCTGTGGGGGATGCTCCAGGAGTATGGGGTGGGTGGCTTTCTGTTAAGGGCCATTCAGTCCCTTTACCAGAGGAGCGTGAGTTTGTTCCGCATAGCCGGTAGTAAGTCGGACCTGTTCCCAGTGAGGGTTGGACTCTGCCAGGGCTGCCCTTTGTCACCGGTTCTGTTCATTACCTTTATGGACAGAATTTCTAGGCACAGCCGTGGTGTGGAGTGTGTCGAGTTTGGTGGCAGGAGAATCTTGTCTCTGCTTTTTGCGGATGATGTGGTCCTCCTAGCTTCATCCAGCTCTGACCTTCAGCTCTTGCTGGGTAGGTTCGCGACCGAGTGTGAAGCGGCTGGGATGAGGATCAGCACCTCCAAATCTGAGACCATGGTTCTCGACCGGGAAAGGGTGGCTTGCCAACTCCGTGTTGGGGGAGAGGTCCTACCTCAAGTGGAGGAGTTTAAGTATCTCGGGGTCTTGTTCACGAGTGAGGGTAGGAGGGATCGGGAGATCAACAGACGGACTGGTTCAGCGTCTGCAGTAATGCGGACGCTGAGCCGATCTGTCGTGGTGATGAGGGAGCTGAGCCAGAAAGCCAGGCTCTCGATTTACCGGTCGATCTACGTCCCAATCCTCACCTATGGTCATGAGCTTTGGGTAATGACCGAAAGAACGAGATCGCGGATACAAGCGGCCGAAATGAGTTTCCTCCGTAGGGTGGCCGGGCTCGGACATTTGGGAGGGACTAGGAGTAGAACAGCTGCTCCTCCAGGTCGAAAGGAGTCAGTTGAGGTGGTTTGGGCATCTGGTCAGGATGCCTCCTGGACGCCTCCCCGGGGAGGTGTTTCGGGCATGTCCGGCCGGCAGGAGGCCCCCGGGTCGACCCAGGACCCGTTGGAGAGGTTACATCTCCAATCTGGTCCGGGAACGCCTTGGGATCCTGCCGGAGGAGCTGGTGGAGGTGGCCGGGGAGAGGACGGTCTGGAGCTCCCTAGTTGGGATGCTGCCCCCGCGACCCGGACCCGGATAAGCGGGGGAAGCCGACGGCAACATTATTTATTGTATTCCATTCTCTAAATGAAGAGAAGAGTATCACTCTGGAGTTTATTTGGTTTTGTTTCACTGATCTTAGTGGAGCTTTTATTGTGCAGACATAATCACAGGTGATTCCTCCAGGTAAACTCAAGACTGTTCCTCTCAGTGTGGCACTGTGACGTTTCAGATGAAGTGTATGGAGCACTAACACCTGGTTCTAGAGACACTCAGAGGAACAAACAACACTGGGGTTGCTGGAGATTTACGGAATTTGGAACATTTCAAGTATGTCCCAACAAAAAACAAAAAAGAAAAACGACCTAGCCCTGATCCGAGAGCAGAATTTACCTTTAATCAGCATCAGAGATCAGAGTTCCTGCCCTCTGATGACACCTCAGCTGTTCCCAACCCCCGCAGGTGTGACCCGTACCCTACCTGCTAGATCTGCTATAAAACGGTCCAGACGATGAGACAAAATCCTGCCAGCGGAAGGAAAACGCTCCTCGTGGAGACTCTCATTGTTCCGATCTGCTGAGAACTGGTTTCCGGTCAGGTGAACTCAGGTGAGGGGTAAAGTCCAGGTGGGGGAGTACTGAAACCTAAAGTTTTCTAATGTCAACTGTTCACACGATCCGACTCACCTGCATAAGGAGGAAGGTTCTCCAACAACCCACGATTGTAACTTTAAGCCTTTCATTCTTTTTCACTTTATTTTTCTAATCATTAATTCTGTTCGTTTTTTCCGCCACCATTTTTGTACTTTTATAAAAGTTGCTTTTCTTCCTTGTGTTCATCCTGTTTCTGCTTTTCCTTCATTAAATGTTTGATGTGTTGTCTCTCCTGTGACCGCCAGGTGGCAGCATCGGGTCCTTGCTTCACACTGACGAGTCAGACCTGACCACGCGCTGCATTAACCTCAAACTTCAGACAGAAGAAAATGTTTTTATTTAAACAGATGGAGACTAAATACATTCAGAAGCTTCAGAAAAAAAGCCACAAACTTAGAAACAACACAAGAGGAGTCAGACTGATTGGTTTAGTTTAGACTATTCCAGACAATAAATTTATCTTCTTTGACCAGGACACAAAGTAAAATTCAGTCAAAATTATATAAATGAGTAAATAAATATATCCTAATTCCAGACTGGAATCAGGTCCAATATGTCTGATGCTTAAATGAGACCTGAAACCTCAGGAAGGACATCAGTATTCACTGGTACTCAAAACCTGAGCGGTTCCAGTCAAAGCAGCAGCTCACGTCCTGTTCAGGGAACCATCTGAAACAACTAATCAGAGGTGCTAGGGTTGATGGACCGCTCAAGCCCACCAGTAGCTCCATCAGACTCCTCCTTCTGGGTGATTATCAGCATCTGAATGCTGTGGCTGCCTGGCAGATTGGACCCGGCCAGCTCAAACTCATCTGCATCAAACTGGGACAGCGGGACTTCAACACAGTTCAGGTTCCACCTGCGGAGCAGCACCTCGATAGACCAGTCAGCGCTAGACCCAACGAGTAGTAAAAACAAAAGAAACCAAAGCAAAGTGTCAGATGAACCGATTCGACCCAGAGGCTGAAGCTAGGGGTTAAACAGCAGCAGTACCATCTCACTTGGTATGTTGTCCAGAACTGGGCTTTTGGGTTTTTCCTCAGCAGACAAACAAACGTCACCAGAATGTCTTCGAAGTCTGAAAAAGATAACAGCTAATCTGAAAAAGGACACATGACAGCTAAGGCTGAATCAAGTCCTAACGAGTACAGAAAATTGATGATGGATTCTGGGAGAGCCTGGTGGAGATCAGCTGTTCCTATCCGAATGAGTCTCCGGGACACAAACTGACCTACAGGATCGTAGAAGACGTCTGAACCAAGGATGATGTCCAGCTTCGGAAGCAGCAGGAGGTCTGGTGACACCTCCCCCCAGCTGAGGCCTAACACGGTGATGTTCTGCAGGCCGTTGGTGTCACAGCTCCGCTTGCAGTTCTCCAGACACAAGGGTTTGTCCAGGCTGTCAGTTAGAATCACCTGAGCACCACACAGTGCCGCCAGTACACCTGGCAGACTCACACCTGCACCCAGCTGAGGACGAAACTGACGCTATTCACTCCAGAAAAGCCCTAAATGTCCTTTATTCAAGCTGGAAGTGTTACCATGGAAACATGATGAAAACAAAGGATAAAAGATGGTCTAAACTCAGGTTTCAGATCAGCCTGAAGCTTGTTCCTGGGTTCTTACCTCCAGTACCGTCCTGCCTGTCAGGTCGTCCCTGTGGGTCCACAGATACTGGGCCATAACCACAGCGCAGGGCCACACATACATCCCATACTGTGGGTCCAGAACCTGGGACGAAGAACCACAGCAGACAGCAGCTTCAGCAAGGACCAGATACTCTGATTTGCTTTTAGCGCTTGAACATGCAACAAAAATCACCTCCGACAGCAAAACAAAAACCTTTAAACTTTTTGTTTTACAGTAAAGTTCAGACACAGAAGTAAAATCTACATAAATGAAAGATCAAAATGTTATCTTATGACTTCTCTTATGTTAATGTTATCAAAATTAGTTTAAAAAAAATAAAAATAAACTAAAACTAAAGAAAGATCGAATAAACATCTAGTAATGCCAACGAAAGCCTTTGTTCAGTATTTAATACTTAATCACGTAAAGCAGTGGTGATCACTCCTGGTACAGGTGTTACGTCGACATGTGTTCCCCCACCATCCTGAGCCTTGCCCCGACCCTTACCCTTAAACAAATACATACATAGTACTACAGTAATACTTTCACATATTAAAATGACGTTAAACACACAGTTTTGGTGACAGGGTGTTTGTGGTTAGGGTGAGGGGTTTTAGTGAGTGGGTCGTTTCCACTCACAGCAGGGTGAACACATGTCAACGTAACACCTGTTTCCAGCATGTTTTACGTGTTTCTCTGCTCAAACACACTCGCCTGCTCAGCAGCTCATCAGAAGCTTGTTGTCAGTAACCTGCTGATTGAAATCAGGTGAGCTGAAGCACAACTAACACCTGCTGGGTAAGGTCTCCAGGACCAGGAGGAGTGCGTTCATGGCTTTTAGACGCTGTTTTACAGGATCTGAACAAACTTGAATTCTGGTATTTTAAACAGATTTTGAGCCTTTAGTTAGGCTATAATTAGCTTATTTTTACTCATTTTGATTCAAACGAAAGTTAAACATGTAGTAAAATCTAAGACAGACCTCAGGTATGGAGACGGTAAGACTCTCCTTGGTGTTTTTGTCCTCAAAGGTGAACACTTTGGTTGTTACTTTGGCCGATCCGCCTTCCTTCTGCTCCATGAAGGAAAAACTACACATTTACACTCCTGCTGTTGGTTTAACGCTTAAAGGACAACTAAACTCAAACCCATTACTCAGGTTGCTTTGCTCTTCCTTCTCTATTTTTATTGCAGTCCCAAAAAACGGAAGGTGCGTTACCGCCCCCTTCTGGATTGGAGAATATATATTTTTTATTAATTGTTTATTTTTATTGATAGATTGAAAATAACATTAACAAAACAAGTCAGGAACTTGACATTATAACAATTCAGGTACGCAGAGATGAGGTGAGTCATTTTTACAAACAAAAAGGAAAAAAGACAACAATATGTGCAAGGCAACAGGGATTCTGCAATATTTGGTAAATTATTGCAGATTTCTTAATTATTCTAGAGATCTGTTTAAGAGATTTAAAGTATTGGTGGGACCTCATCACAAAGGTTTTATGAAGAGTTATGTAAACCAGGCTTAGATATTTCCCCTGTCATGTAAATAAAACATAGAAGTCCATTGTAATGGACTTCTGTGGATGCTACATTATCATCATCATCATCATCATCATCAAACAATGTCATATTAGAGAAGTTAATTTGCAACAGGATTTTTGGTTTAAAAAAGATGTTTTTACAACAAACGTGTTTAGGGCTGCTGACTTTTGCAAAAATCTAAGAGTGGCCCATTGTAAGGTCACTTTGGATGACACTAAGGACTACCACATCAACATCGAGTTGCTACTGACTCAAAAATAAACTAAAACATGAAATAAATTTTAAGCAATATTATGTTATTTTGTTGTTCTAACAGAATCATTTTCACTTTGTTCTGTTCCTTCTGTTCTCCTTCCCTGATTCCATTTAGGTTAAAACATAAAGGTAAAAACAAGCTTTATTTAATCTGTGTATTAGTGAAGAACCAAAACACTGAATCATACAATTTTCACTGTTCTGCAATATGATATTAGTAAGAACATGAAAATTACATTATACAAACATGAAAACATATTGTTTGAACAATGTTTTTCATTGTTAAAACTAATGTGCATTTATCTGTTACCTTATTATTTTCCTTCTTACTTTTTCTCTACTGTAAAGAGTGAAATTCTCCACTGTGGGATTACTAAAGTCTATCCTGTTCTATTATGTTCTAAATAAAACGTAGAGCATTCAAAACCCCTAATCCCAGGCAGGTAGAGACACCTGGTGCTTCTTTCTCCAAGGACTGATGTCTGAGGCCTTTTGATGTGATTTCTGACTATGTTTTCCTGAGACCTGAGGATACACTACATATGAGGTTTATGAATGACAATACTTCTTATTACTCAACGGTCAGAAATCAGACTTTTGATTTATGATGATATTTCTCTTTTTAGATTAATGTGCTTTATGTCCATCATGCTGTGCAATCCTGCTGTCATTTTTTGTTGTTGTTTATTGTTTTAATGTCACGTTATATATATATATATATATATATATATATATATATATATATATATATATATATATATATATATATATATATATATATATATCAGACGTCAAGCTAAACAGACAGGGTTAAAAAAAACATGATCGACCTCTTTCCCCATCACAGTGTACTTCTGCCCAGCCCAGATGTGCTCACATGTGCACCCGTGAGCCGTGGTTCCGCTGGAACGTGTCTGACCTCTGACAGACGCACTCTGAACTTCAGATCTTCAGCGCGCTGTTAATAGCCTGAATGGGAATAATTTCTTGATTTATTTAGTTACATCCACAATGTTCTGTGTGTGAGGTTTACAATGTCAGAACACCTGCATGAGACAGGTGTTAATTACAATCTGCCAGAATGACTCGCCACCTTCAGATTCCTCCAACACCGTTAAAAATGATCAAATACGGAACATATCGGCGTGCGCAGGCCAGAGTGCTGAAGCTCAGCACATTGTTATTATGAAGCTAGGGCACATGTGGAGGACACGCGCAAAAATATACTTGTTTTCAATGACATTTATTGGGCCCACTTATTTTCCACCCAGTAATCAGCTGGAACGTGAGCTGTAACAGCCAATTATATCGATGGGCGGGAAGGTGCAGACTGTTGGCTAATCCAATCAGGATTCGGCTTGTTGTTGCTGTCGTAGCCAATAAGCTTCTTTTTACGGAAATATGGGCGGGCGTTGTTGCATAATCGGTTGCAAAAGCATTGTGCCTTACGCTGCTAGCATTAGTTTACAGAACTTTCCGGATCAGATCCTCGAATAAAATTACATTAGATAGGAAACCGAGAACGTTTTCTACGTGTCGATTAATGTGTGGTTCTGTTGTATGATTAGGCTGAGAGTGTAGGAAAGTGCTGGGAAGGTGAATGTAGTCCCAGGTTAGCTCGTTAGCTATCTAACCAGCAACCACACGCAGGAGAAAAGCATGAACCATAAAAGTAAAAAGAGAATAAAAGAGGCTAAGCGGAGCGCCAGGCCTGAACTCAAGGACTCGTTAGACTGGATAAAACACGGTTATTCTGAGACCTTCGACCTGTCACACCGCACCGTGAAGGTAACTGTCTGCGCAGGTTTGGAACTGAGCTAACAGAGGCTAGCCTGCTAGCTCAGCTGAGAGTGCAGCTTGTCACGTAGACAAAAGAGACGATGTTACAACAGTTGTGACTCCCAGATGAAAATAACTAATAAAATCAAAGTTATGGGATCAAAAATATCTTAATTTAATACGTCTTGATTTAATTTGTCTAAAATAAATAGTCAGAATCACGGATTTTTACATTTTCTGTTGTTAATAACCAATATTTTGTATGTTAAATTCTGCACGTTACTGGCGTCTAGCTGGTTTGTAGTTAGGAGACTTCTGGGAGTTTTTCTGACATTAAATATGTTCAAAATGTTCATATTAGAACTCATGTGGAGCTAAACAATCTGTAATAGTTGACAGAAACGAAAACGCCAAGAGAAGATCCTGTGTGGTATTTAGGTCCATGTTACTAAAGATCTGTTCACCTCATGTGACCTCAGGGTTTTACCCTAACCCTTACCAGCTCAGTGATAAAGCATTTCAATGTAAAGAACAAACTACAAGGGTTTGGTTGGAAGGAATTGTAATTTATCTGCGTTGTTTATCTTTGGCCTTGCATTAGTAACGGTCTGAACATGGAACTTTTATGTATCAAGAACCTGAATCACATGGGTGGAACATTTATGTAAGTGCTTGGCTGTTTCATTATGGGCTCCGCTCTGTTTCAGGACAATGTGGAGCGAGTGGATGCCCTCCATCTGAGTCCAGAAGAGTTCATCCAGCGCTTTGAGCGGCCCTACAAACCTGTCGTCCTGCTCAATTGTGAGGACAGCTGGCCCGCTCGGGAAAAATGGACCCTGGAGCGCCTTAAACGAAAATATCGCAACCAGAAGTTCAAGTGTGGGGAGGACAACGACGGGTACTCTGTGAAGATGAAAATGAAGTACTACGTAGAGTACCTGGAGTCCACCAAAGATGACAGCCCGCTCTACATCTTTGACAGCAGCTATGGCGAACACGCCAAACGAAGGAAACTGCTGGAGGACTATGAGGTGCCGGTGTTTTTCAGAGACGACTTGTTCCAGTTTGCAGGAGAGAAACGCAGACCTCCTTACAGGTGTGTGGATCTGTAACTGGATTAATGTCAGTCTATCTGCGTCTGTAGGGACAGAATCTGCTCTTTCATTTTGTTTATTGATTTGTCACCAGATAATTACTCTAATCCCCCTCCAGGTGGTTTGTAATGGGTCCAGCTCGCTCCGGTACTGGAATCCACATTGACCCGCTGGGCACCAGTGCCTGGAATTCATTGGTTCAAGGCCACAAGAGGTGGTGTCTGTTCCCCACCAACACGCCCCGAGAGCTGATCAAAGTGACCCGAGAAGAGGGGGGGAACCAGCAGGACGAGGCTATCACCTGGTTCAGCATGATCTACCCTCGAACGCAGCAGCCTGCCTGGCCTCAGGAGTTCAGACCGCTGGAGATCCTGCAGAGACCTGGAGAGACTGTGTTTGTTCCCGGTCAGTGTCGGCTTTAGTCCAGAACCATGCAATCCTGGTCCTCAAGGGCCATTTCCTGCCGTGTTTACCTGCAACAACACAACTGGTTTGAATGAATGCATGATTAAAAAGCTTCTGAAGAACTTGTGGACATGTTGAAGAATCACTGAGGCAGGGTTACAGCTGAAACATGCAGGGAAGTGGCCCTCCAGGACCAGGACTGAATAATCCCTCATTTTCACTAAATGCAGGACTGATGTGGTCCAGACTTTGTGCGGCCTCTGCCAAGGCCAAAAATAATCGAGTCCAATCAGGGCATTCACACCAGATGTGATGCAGTGTGGAGCTGGATGTGGATCCGGAAAGTTTCTTCAAATTTTATCTGGCTGCTGCATGCAGATTGTTATGAAGTTTAAGAAATTACACGAGCCAAACAGGAAGTGAGACGTGGAACAGCGAGGTGCATCCGATATATTTCAAAATGAAACTCGTTACAGAGATATCAGTTCACAGTGTGTGATAGTTCACATCAGTACATCTTTAAACATATTATGTCACATTTATTACGGGAACTCTGGTGAAACCTGGATTTGACCCTCTAGCCTGAACTAATGAGATGTTCTGCGCATAAATAATTTTATAGGAAAAATACAGTCAAATGTCTGTTTTACAGAAGAACTCCACATATTCAGACACAAACTATAGTGTTGATGAGGGCTCTGATCCGTCACCCAGAAGCCAGTCAGGTCTAAGGTTCAGACTGCTGGGCTGGGTTAGCAGCAGGTGGGTTCATCAGCCGTTAGGCGTCAACTCACCGATTAGACCTCGGGAACAGAGAACATCTGTCCGTCCTGCATCTTTCAACCGCAGTTAGCTGCTGCAGCACCACCTGCTGGTCAGAGTAATAACGGACTCACTTCCTGTTTGGCGGTGCATACCTGGCCTGCTTTGCCCTAATACTTCACCTCAGCTGACCTTCATTTTGTTTGTGGTTTCAGGTTTTATCATGCAACAATTCCTGAAAAGTAAAATAGGTTTGAAATCATTTAGTTGGGTTTTCACATTTGAGTCACAGATATTCAAAAAACTTACATCAGGATTGGTTCAGGATTTTTATTTGAGTGTAGTTTGTGACGTGTGCACGTGCACATGGGAGTTAATGACTCTCCAGTCTGAGGACTTCATCCTTTTCCTGGAGACCGCTCTCTGTGACGTCACCTGCTGGTCCTAATTATCGATAACTAACTGGTCTCCAACCATGACTGAAAATCCCTTCAGGACAGCCGACATGACCCATATTCACCTAAAGCTAACAGAGCCGATGAGGTCGGATTAAACCCTCAGCTGTTCCTGTGATCAGGTATTAGAGTCTGACCGACAGCAACTTATCAGCTCTACCAAATGGTTTCCATTCTGCTGGGGCCAGGCTTCTAGCTGGTTCTGAAGGTCCAGATTAAACCGATCCGGTCCCCTTCACCTCTGTCAGCATGCCCCAGGGCACAATCAGTGTGTGAAGGACTGAAGTGTAAAGCACTGTGGAGTCCTCTGACTCAGAAATGTGGGTCAGTCACTCCCAAAGCCAGACCGTCCTGTAATCCTCTAAGATGGTTCTGGACCAACAGAACTTCTGAAGTTTTTATTTGGACTTTGGTTGTTTTTTTCTCCAGCTCACTGACACACACACCTCTGTATGATGATTTAGTTTCTGGGTGTGTTGTGTAAACGTGTGTGTGTGTGTGTGTGTAAACGTGTGTGTGTGTGTGTGTTCAGGTGGATGGTGGCATGTTGTGCTGAACTTGGACACAACGATCGCCATCACTCAGAACTTTGCCAGTACCACCAACTTCCCCATCGTCTGGCACAAAACGGTTCGAGGACGACCCAAGCTCTCCAGGAAGTGGTATCGGTACGTCCTCAGCTCTGGATGCTTCTCTGTGTGTACCGTAACGTGATCTGGATCAGAACATCACAGGAGTCATGTGATCTGTGCTTTTTTATGGATTTATGCAGGTCTTGGCTTTAGTTCCCAGTTTGAGGTTGTTAACCACTGTCAGGGTTTAGCTAATATTTGTTTCCTGAAACAAGGAGGCAGATTAGGTCCTGTGTCCATTTTCCACCAAGATGCAGTAAAACTGACCCGTCAGCATGTCGGAGCTCTGCAGCGCCTGTATCTGTATCTAAAACAATCTTTTATTTTGAACAAGATGTTTCAGCTAAGCGAATCTTTTCTCCTCTTCATCGCCTCGGATGGGGCTGATGTTGCATCACTGCGAACGCTTTTCCCTAAAAGATAAATGTTTCATGGTTAGAGACTTGGACCTAATCAGACCGGTTTAATCTGTTACACCAGAACCAGCTGAGGATTCCAGGGATTATAACAGATTATGTTTTGTTTCAGGATTTTGAAACAGGAGCGTCCAGATCTGGCTGTACTGGCAGACAGAGTGGACCTGCAGGAGTCCACGGGCATCGCTTCGGACAGTTCCAGTGACTCTTCTTCGTCGTCCTCATCGAGCTCGTCTGACTCGGATTCTAATGTGAGTTCTGGAACAGGCTGATGCACGTGGAACCCCAACCATCCTCTGATTGTTGGGTTTGTCTCCAACCCACTTGATTCAGAACAACAGAACTCAGAATATTTATCAAAGTGACCCGACAGCTTTTAGAGCTGCTGCATTAGGGCTCAGCAGAATCGTCCACCTGAGCCGTCTGAACAGAGCCTCTGGGTTCTGAACATCTGGGAACATGGTGGTCAGCCAGAACTGAACCCGTTCGACCCGTTTCAACCTACGTTTTTATTTCAAGAAACAAAATGTTCAAACAGGGAAGTGCATTTCTGTCGGCTCAGGGAGAGCGTTTAAGGTCAGCTGATGACGTTGTTTTGGGTCGTGTCTCCTGCAGGCAGAGTCGGGCTCTGAGGGCGACGCCATGACCCACCGTAGGAAGAAGAGGCGCACTTGCGGGATGATGGCCAATGGTGACTCAACCACCCAGGATGACTGCGCCAGTAAGGAGAGATGCTCGTCACGGTGACCTTTGACCTCCACTCAGTGGCCCCCATCGTTCTGAGACTGACCTCCAGCTGTTTCTGGATTTGTTTGGAAGGTCTGAGCTCCTGGTGGGGCTGGCCGTTCAGACAGGGGCCACGTTTAGGGTGTTGGCTGCTGCAGACCTTCATCACTGTGCTTCTCACTGGGGGGGTGTGGGGGGAATTCAGCTCTGCCATTATTTTTCAAATCACATCCAGGAGAAAAACCTGGAACACGACCTCACTGCTGTGGGTTTGCTGCACAGCGCTGTGTTTAGGGCGCTCGGAGAACCCAGTTTTATGGTCTCCTGACCGGGATGTTGGAACATTTTAACATTTCACTGGCTGCTGTCAGAAATCTGATTCATTAGGATTTCATTTGCTGCTCCATCCTGAAGCATTCAGGGAAAAATCTAAAGGTTCTGCAGATTTCTTTCAACTCGAGTTTAACGACTCAGGACGGAAACATCCAGATCTCTGCTGATGGTTTATTCAGCTTCATCCTGCTGGTTTAGCTAAATGTCTCCACTCTTCTGAAACTTTTAATCTGCCTTTTGTTGATTGGATTTTCAGAATAAAAGCCTTAACCAGAACTGCGTGCTGCAGATGTTCAGCTCTATGTGGCGTGTTCGCTCCAGTTGCTGTTAGAACCCAAACCCACCTGGATCCAGGTGAAGCCGGTCTCTGGCTGCGGTTCTGGTTTAAGCGGCAGGTTTGTGTTTGGTTCTGAGTAAGTGTTCTAGTTTGGATGGACGTGTTGTTTCTGGTGTTTTCTTCAGTATATCGGGCGGGTCAGTGTTCCGTATCCTGGCCCAGTTGTATTAATGCCAAACTTAACCGCCGCTAGTCACTTTTGCCATTTTGGAGCATCATGCTGAAACCCAACAGCTTTCTGAGCCAAAGTCGTTGTTCTGAGTGACCAGAACCCAGGTCCAGTCAGGTTCTGACTCTGCTTGTCGATGTTGAAGGTGACTGTAGTTCTGTCTCTAGGGTTCTGTCTAGGTTGGATCAAGTGACCTGACCCGTTGTGCTGACTCACATTCAGATATATTTTCAACTCTGATTCTTGCTGAGTCAGCAAATTCTGTTTCCAGCTGCAGGACCAGAACCTGCAGGTTCTGTATGCTGCTGAGCCCGGTGTTGATTTGGTTCCTGACTAAAGACGCTCGTGGGTCCTGGCTTTAAACGGCTCCTCGGAACCAGAATCCTCCTCCCAGACAATTTCATTTAAATTTAACAGAGAAGATGTGGTTCAGATAAATCCACATAATCGGACTTCCTGTTGGCCGAGCTCCTTATGAACGGGCAGGAATGATGTGAGCACCCATCAACTGAAATGTTTCAAATCTGTTTCAGGTTATTTCTCTTTGTCATGCTGCTTTCAGAGCCAGACCTGAGCTCTTCTGGTGGCTTTTATGAATTTCTAAATCTGGTTTAATATGATGTTAATCGGTTTAAATATTTAGAGGTGAACGTTCTGGAAGCATCGAGAATCTGAAGTGCCTTCCTGGTCCTGGTTCTGTGTTTGGTGGGTTTAAAGTGATCACATGGTGCCTTCACCTGAAAACTCAGCTCCCAGCTCCTCTGAGACTAATGTGATTTATGTTTTTGTTCAATAAAAACTTTTCTATAACCAAGCCTGTCTGATTATTGAGCTTCAAATATATTTTAATCATTTATCTCATTTTAATCAGCCGTCCCGTTTATGGAAATGACGTGTTTACAGTGATCCGAGTTGAATTTGTTAACTATTTGTTCCTAGTCAGTCATTTTATTGTGACAACCTCTTCCTTAAAATAAAGCAGGCTCTTATTTTGAAGCAGATCATGTCTCGGTCATCCACCAGTCGCGCGCGCCCACCCCTCAGCTGTGTGTGTGTGTGAGGTAGGTTGTCCAGAAAGTGTGTGAGTGCAGCCTGGAACACACACACCCACACACACTCGCTCCTCTCCGCTCCAGAACCCGCCGTCATGGATCTGGAACCGGCCGTGCTCATTCCCGCGGTTCTTTTCACCTTCGTGGCTCTGGTTTTTGCTTCCTCGCTCCTCGGTAGGAAGACCGACTCCTCGTCCTCTTCAGGCGGGACCAAAAAGCCCAAAGTCGGCTACGGAGATGAGGCTCCTCCGTCCAGAGCGCTGGGAGAACCGCTCCGGTCCCCGGGACCAGAGCCACCGGCTCCGGAGGAAAAGAACCGAGAGTCGGAGGTGAAGGTTAGATTCGGCCTCCTAAACGTGTTTTCTTATTTAAAACCAAATAAGTTTGTTTTCCTGGACCATTCACATATAAAAGTTGTGACTCAGAACATTTTAAATAATTTAGTTTCTTCTGAACCTAAACAGAAACTTCAGAATAAAACATTTCAATGTAGGAAAACAAATGTTATAGTTTTCAGTTGTAATAAAACTATTCATGACTAAAAACGTTGTCTATGTTTATGAAACACTTGATAGAGGAAACAAGTGAAGGTGAGTGAAACCTGATCCAGACCTGATGTGGGTCTCTGGTCCACCTGATCCACCAGCTGCTGGGGTTGCTCCCTAAACGAGGAGACCCATAAATGTGCTTCCAAACTGCTGATTCAGAAACAGCAGCGGCTCCCAGGTCTGGTGAATTCCTTCTGAATGGTTAAAATTTAATTTAAATCAGAGTTTAAAGGAAAACTGCTGATCAGGATTCGATTGATCAGGGGCTTTGGACTTTACTCCAGCTGTTGATGCATTTCTGTGTGAACAAGCTGATGTACAGCAGGCGGGTTTATGGTGTGACTCGTCCATGATGGTTCTGACCCAGCTGCTGAGTTCTGTGGGGATGTGCCTTGTCCTGCTGGAACATGTAAATGTCTAAACGTGGCACCGAACATGACCCATGTTTATATTTACAGCCTTGTTCCTGGTGTCGCCCGTCTGAAACCATGTCTGAAACTGGCTGCAGCTGTGGTGGAGGTGGGCGTGGCAACTCCAGCACATCTTTTTGGTTCTGATCCTTCAGGCCCGGCCCAGTTCTAACCTCACACAGCAAGAACACAATCTTAAGTTGAGAAGGTTCTGAAACATTTTTATATTTTCAGAGGACAAAAATGGCTGCAGTCCACACAGAAGCTCAGAGGGGTCAGAGGTCATGTATTCTGTTTGACATGTTTATAAAATATTTTAGCGCTGAAAACATTTAACATATTTTTAAACTGTTTACTCTTTTCAGTTGGGAAATACGTCACCCATAATCCCTAGCAGCAGTCCTGATATCTGTTTTCTGGTTTGGCTGATAAGAAGCCAAACATGTTGGTCTGCTCTGAAGCTGTGTTGTTGTTGTTGTTGTTGTTTTGGACAAATGGTTGAAATAATTAACAATCAAAGCTTCATGGTGGAATGTTCAAACTTATTTCTGATAATAAATATTTGGGTCACACAAACTGCAGCAGTAGTTCCACTTCATGAGCAGCTTTAATATTTTTAATCCAAATTAAATTTCAATAATAAAACGATTCAAAATAAACATTTCAACTGGAAGGTCAGTCTCCTGAGACCCTGTGTCCACATTTGAGGACACAGACTTCTTGCACTATAATATTTTATTCTCTTCAACTTGGATCTTTTTTATTATTTAGAGACACTTAAATTTAAAACTTTTTTTTGATAATTTGTCAACATTTATATATATATATATATATATACACACTAATATTTTATACACGTTATTGAGAGTTGACTAATCTGTAATAGTTAAAATCGTTTTTTTTTTTGTTTTTTTTAATCACACCAAATTGAAATTAGGCGCTTTTGTGTCTCTTTAACAAAACTAAAACAAATCTAATCATGAGTTAGTTTCAGTGAAAGGTTAAACATTACTGGTGTACAAGATTTTCTTTTATCTCAGGGCCTTTTTAAAAAGCTTGTATTTCCTTATCAGGCTGCAGCTTGTTTCTTTCTGCTGTAAACTTAGACAAGTCCAGAGTTTTCTGAAGAACCTGCAGGTTTTGACATTCTCTTCTCGGGGGTCAGGGGTCACCAACATGGTGCCCCCTGGGACTCTGATAAGGTGTTCAAAAAATAGCACAACTTACCTCTAAGCAAATTTTGTGTGTGTGTGTGTAATGTACATATGTTTTTGTTGCCATTTTAATCACACTTGCATTGATATAAATTTATAAATGGAAGTATTGTTGAAGAGAAATGTTTGTTATATATAAAGTTTAGTTCAAGTAATCTATTATAGGCATGTACAGTCCGTACATGTATGTACAGTCTATGATTGTAGGTTGGCATTGAGCTCATTTTCTTCCGGCTCCTGGAGAGTGCAGACGCTTTTTTTCCTCCTCTCCTCCCTATCTTGTCAGTTGGTCACTTAACGCGATTGATAACATTTTTTCAACGATGAGAACGGGAGAAGGGGCTCCCGGGTGCCCCACTGGGACAGATCCAGCTGGGCATATCATGGACTCCTGGAAACAGTGGAACCTGATCTGCCTCCCTCAACTGTCTGTAGAGGATTCTGAAGACGTCTGGATATTCGTGGTGTTGGTGTCAGGTTTCCTGCTCTTTGGCCTAGCAGGCTTCCTGGCTTACCGGAAAATTAACAAGCTGTTGAGGAATATTGGCGCTGGGGGCAGCAGTAGCTCAACAGGTTGAGCGGGTTGTCCAGTAATCGGAAGGTTGTGTCCTTGGGCAAGACACTTAACCCACCTTGCCTGCTGGTGGTGGTCGGAGGGACCGGTGGTGCCTGTGCTCGGCAGCCTCGCCTCTGTCAGTGCGCCCCAGGGCAGCTGTGGCTACATCGTAGCTCATCCCCACCAGTGTGTGAATGTGTGTGTGAATGGATGAATGATACACTGTAGTGTAAAGCGCTTTGGAGTCCTTACTCTGAGAGGCGCTATACAAGTGCGGTTCATTTATCATTTCATTTATCTCCCTGAGCTCAGGGATGGATTACACCGCGCTGTGAATTCACAGACTCATAATTGTCGAGATGAATCGTAAGCTTGAAACTTTGGCCGAGATTCATGCGTTGGCACAAAAGATGGATGCCATCAAGCAGTGGCGGTTCTACATGGAATTACTCCCTGGGCGAGGCCCCCTTTGAGCGCCCCCCCCACCCACCACCACCACCACCACACCACACCACCCGCACGAACACACACATGTTTTCTACAAACAGGCATGTTTTATTAGAACGAATATTGAACATTTATTTTTCTAAGTTGCACATGTGTACATTAATTACTATGAAGTTGTCAGAATGTAAAGCAACATACATTATATACTGTATCAAAATATATAGAATCAAATATACAAAAACAAACAATAACTAAATATTAAGAATATATGCACATAATATATAATAAATATTCTAAATAGCAAAAATATTTCACACATACAGTAACAAACTAAAGATAATCACTACAGCATTGCACTTAGAATAGAAAACACAAACTAAAATTAAAACCCAACCTTGATGCAAAGTCATCAATAATGTCATCATATGAAATCGGCTCCCCTACTGAGTGATCGATACTAATCAGAGCCAGGTTAGTGAGCCGCCCCTGAAACATAGGTGACCTCAGGTATGACTTGATCAAGTTTTGAAAAGCTCCTCTCAGCTTGAGCCACAGTGACTGGCAGAGCAGTCCAAAAGTTGGGGTAGATCTCCAATAGATCTTTATCATGATCCATAATATTTTAGAATTGCCTCTGAAATTGTAATTTAAACTGACATAAAAAAACTGTAGACTACCAAAAATGCCAACTTTTACAGAACAAATCATGTAAAAATAATCAGTGCAGCCATCTGCAATAAATAAATAGGATAGTTAGTGGTGACTGGGGAGTTTCCTTCTGCTTGTAGAGTTGTTTTATTTATTATTATGTGAACATGATCAACATGTGTTTGTTGTTGTTCAGGCAGGCCACAGGCTGCAGCGAGCATTTAACAAATCCTAGTTTGAATCAGTAAAACACGATTCAAGGACTTTTTTCGAACCATTTGAATATTCGTTTCAATGTTTCAGCCCTATTAGCTCTGTTAGCAATTAGTTGACTGAATTTAACCGTTAAAATCCCAGTTAACTGGTTCAAACAATTGAAAACATGCATCATGAGAGCGTACATACCTTTATCTTTCTCCTCTTTTTTTTCTTTTTTTTTATTCCTGAATGGGGCACCTGGTGGTTTTAGCCTTTTTATGTTCATCTCTTCTGTTTGGCTCTTGACTCAATAAGTTTCCTTTAGTCTGGACTAAACGATTTGACCTTGATGACCACAAAATCGTTTTGTTTTTCCTTTTTTTATTCGGCCATTTCACACAATTCAGAAAAACCTGAAAGAATGATAGGCCTGTGTTTATGATGTTATGAATGAAATGTGCGTTAAATGGAAGAACATCAAGATGTGATTGACTTTAGCCATGTTAATACAGTTGATTCAGCCCCTACCCGCTCATTTCATTTGGGAAAGACCCAGAGGTGAATTCCCCCGCCGCACCCCTCCCCTTCCTCTTCTTCATACACACACGGTGCACATGAATGTTCTCAGTCAGCAGAAGCGCCTGCAGCTGCAGGGGGCGCCAACTTGCTGTTTCCAATCTAGACACTGTGATATGACAGATAATAGAAAACCTCGGTGCGGCGCAGATTTCTTTCTTTTTATTTTTTACTCCGCGCTTGTGCGCCCCTTTTGTGTCATGAAAAAATGCCGCCCCGGGCAACTGCCCTGTCTGCCCGTGCCTAAAACCGCTACTGCCATCAAGGAGCGAGTGGACAAATCGGCACAGATTGTCGTCTTCCTCCGCTTATCCGGATCTGGGTCGCGGGGACAGCATCCCAACTAGGGAGCTCCAGACCGTCCTCTCCCCAGCCACCTCCACCAGCTCCTCCGGCAGGACCCCAAGGCGTTCCCGGACCACATTGGAGATGTAACCTCTCCAACGGGTCCTGGGTCGACCCGGGGGCCTCCTGCTGGCAGGACATGCCCGAAATACCTCCCCAGGGAGGCGTCCAGAAGGCATCCTGACCAGATGCCCAAACCACCTCAACTGACTCTTTTCGACCCGGAGGAGCAGCGGTTCTACTCCGAGTCCCTCCTGAATTTCTGAGCTCCTCACCCTATCTCTAAGGATTAGCCCGGCCACCCTACGGGGGAAACTCATTTCGGCCGCTTGTATCCGCGATCTCGTTCTTTCAGTCATTACCCAAAGCTCATGACCATAGGTGAGGATTGGG